AATTTATAATTTGTGTCTTCTCTAGCTTGAGAGACCCCCGCTTCAGTGCTTAAAAGACAATGCTCTATTGTCTTCTGATATACATAGTTACTGACAAGAAGTTTACTATTATTCTTATCTTGTTTGTCTATATGCAATAAATTCTTTCATTCTGCCTAACTTTAAGATGTTCTCTTTATTTTTGGTTTACACAGTTTGACTAAGATGTGCCTGGTTGTGTTTTTCTTTGTATGTATCCTCTGTGGGTTTTTCTGAGTTTCGTGGATATGTGGTTTGTTGTCTTCATTAATCTGGGGAAATTCTTGCCATTAACTCTTCTATTTTTTCCACCTCACTCTCTCTTCAATCTCCTTCTGGGATTCCATTTACACAAGTTAGCCCAACTGATGCTGGGCAGGAGCTCTTTAATGAACTGTTCTACTTTTTTGTTGTTTTTTTTTTCTCTTTATGTTTCAGTTTGGATAATTTCTATTGACTATTCCTGATTTTTTTCCCCTGCTGTGTATGGTCTGCTAATTAACCTGCCAAAGGACTTATTCAACTCTAATATTTGAATTATTCATAGGATTTCCATTTAATTTTTTTAAAGTTTTCATCTCTTTGCTGCCACTTCTTATGTGTTTATTCATTTTATTCATCTTTTCCATAAGGCTTTTAACATGTTGATTATAATTATTTTAAAGTTTTTGATAGTTCTAGCATGTAAGTCATCTCTTCATCTACTTCTATTGACTACTTTTTCTCTTGACAATAGGTCAAGTTTTCTTTTCCTTGCTATTTCAATGTCTCATAATTTTCTGTAGTTCTTTGAATATTTTGTGAAAAAAACAAACAAAAACAAAAACCAGTAGAGACCAAGGTAAGTGGTACTTGTATTTGGAACAGGACGTATCTCTTCTGAACCATTATTAGTGTAGGAGTTAAGTCAATTTACTCAATACTTAAACTGAGTTTGGGTTTGCCATTGATTGAGTTACTTTCAATGCACCACAGACTTCAAATTCCTCCAGTGGTGGTCAGCTGTTATCTTATACCTAATTCATGACCTGTAGTGTTGGAGGATTTTTCTTTTTCCATGTTTCTAATCAACCAATGCCTTTCAGCAAGTCTTGTACACTTATATCACACAAAGTGCTTCTTTGTAGGTAGTTGTCTCTCCTCAACTACTAGATTGCTACTGCTGGTTACTTAGTACAAGGTTCATGGTGGGTAGGCATAGTTCTCTATTGTTCCAGTCCAGCCTCAGACTAGGCAGACTCTGTGCATCTGGATCTCGAAGAGGGACTTTCTCAGCATTTCTGTCCCTTCCCTCTATTGCAGCTGAGCAGTTCTTGTATAGCTGAGAGGTATTATGCAAGAGGAATTTATTAGTCTTCACCCAGTGGTAGTAGATCTCTATTTTGTTTAAATACAGAATCCAGGGCATAAGAGTATTTGCTTACTCTCCAACAGTAATATATGCCTTTTGCTTCTACCTCTTCCTCAGTGAGGACCAGAGACTGGAGGAGTAGAAGAGTTTCCCACAACTCCCCTAAGTGTCAGGAGCTTTTACTTCTACCCTCCCTTCATAGGTACTGACTCTTTTCCTCACCTAGAGAGTGGAAGGATTTCCTGGCATCTGCAGGTTTTGCCTCATAAGAAAAAATTCCGAGGAAGAGGAAGTAGTTTTGTGTCTGTGTATCACTAAGGGACTTTTCTGTTCTACTGCCCTGCCCCAATCTTTCTCATAAGAACATGGTGGACAACCGGCATGGAAAAGAGCTGGCAAATAACTACAACTCCTATGTGTCCTGGGCTCACAGGGCTCTAAATCAGGGGTCAAAAAACATTGAGGTCCTGATAGTAAATATTTTAGGCTTTGCAGAACATACAGTCAGTTGCAACTAATGAACTCTGCCATTGTAGTACAAAGAGCAGACATAGACAATAAGTAAACAATGAGGTGGCTGTGTTCCAAAAAAATTATTTATAAACACTAAAATTTGAATTTCATAATTTTCATATGTCACAAAATATTACTCTTTTGAGTTTATCCCAAAGATTTAAAAATATAAAAAGTAAGCAGAAAGCTGGATTTGGCTCATGGGCTAAGATTTGTTGACCCCTGCTCTAAACTATCAAGTTAACTTGGACTCTGCCATTGAGAATTTGTTGAATTTTCGGCTGTTTTCTTCTGACCCTCTTTTATGGTGGCTGTCTCTTCCTCCAATGCTCTGTTAAAGGTGAAATATTTCCTATGTCTATCTTTCATATAATATTTCCTATGTCCATCTTCTTGTCACCCTTTGGAATTCAATCCACCTAACTGCCTGGCAATCTCACTCTCTGATAGGCTCAAGAAAAGTTGTGAGTTTGTAAATTGTACAGATTTTTCTCATTGTTAGGGTGGGGTCAATGTTCTCTTGCTTCTTGCTACATCCTGAGTGGAAACAGAACTTGAGTCATACATTTTTGCAAAACTTTCAGAATTAAGATATTTTCATCAAAATAAATTAAGATCATGGGCCCTGTCTACTTAACTTTCACCTCTGTCTTAGTCTGCTAGGGCTGCTATAACAAAATATCACTGACTGGGTGGCTTAAACAATAGGAACTTATTTTCTCACGATTCTGGAGGCTGGAAATCCAAGATCAAGGTGTTGGCAGGTTTGGTTCCTCCTAACTCCTCTCTCCCACGCTTGTTGATGACCACCTTCTCATTATGTCTTACAGGGTCTTTCTTCTATGTATACACAATTATCCCTGGTGTCTCTTCCTCTTCTTATAAGGACATCAGTCCTAATGGATTGGGACCCTACCCTTATGGCGTTATTTAATCTTAATTACCTCTTCATAAACCTTATCTTCAAGTACAGTCATCACATTGGGGGTTAAGGTTTCAATATACAAATTTTGAAGAGACACAATTCAGTCCATGACACCTTTTGTCACATTTACTCTTGTGTTATATGGAGCTGGAGTCGTCCTGGGCATACTTGAAATCTAGCTAAGGGGAATCCAACTTGAAGATATACTTAGTTTGGTTTTAGTGGTATATATTTATGTAGTTAATAATTACTTGTATGAGAGGATCATAGGGGAAGGTAGGAAAAAATAAAACAAGACAGAATCAGAGAGGAAGACAAACCATAAGAGACTCTTAATCATAGGAAACAAACTAGGGCTTGTTGCCTAAAAGGGTTGCTGGAGGGGAGGCGGGTGGGGGGGTGGGGTAATAACTGGGTGATGGACATTAAGGAGGGCACATGATATAATGAGCACTGGGTATTATATAAGACTGATGAATCACTGAACTCTACCTCTGAAACTAGTAATTCATTATATGTTAATTAATTGAATTTAAATTTTAAAAAAGACAAAGTACATAAAAGGATTTTGTAAAAAATAAAAATTAAAAAAATTACTTGTATGTAGTTAAATTATTTCTACATGTCTTAGTATAGGAATGGTTTCCAGGAATATTCCAACCCCTTGACATCATAGTAGGAAGGTCTAGGCCAAAGACTATCATATGAGTTTTCATGTGAGTATCCTTTTAAGGTAAAAATATTTACATCGAAATAATAAATGTAAGCCTCTCATATTACATATTTATCCTCCTCTAGTTACAGGTAGGTCAATTTCACATACTTCCAATAGCAGTTGAAAGTATAAGGACAATGGAGGAGGACCAAGAAGATAGCCTGTGGAAAATTTTTGTAATCATTGTATATATAAACTGAAAAAAGAGAATTTGGTTCTTATCAAGGCCTTATCAAAAGGGAAGTTCTTTCCTTCAGGAATATATTAAATAACATAGTGAATACAGTGATAAATGTGTCATACGTAAAAATTTTTTTGATAGAAATCATGCAAAATAAAATTTCCCAGAATTCCTGTTTATAGGGCACAACTTGTAGCAATGCAACAAAAAGCAAGTATATATGGAACAGTACATATGTAAAAGAAACTGTGACAGGTATTTTCCCAAATTTGACCATAGACTGAAGTACTTGCACTGTACAACCAATAACAAGTTTTTTCAAAGCCCAAAATTTTCTAAACTCTCAATAATAAAAAAAAATTTTAGTCAATTACATTTTAAAACAATTTTTACTATAAATAATCATAGAATCACAGAATATGTGAGCAGGCATGGAATTTAGAAATCACTTCCTAGTCTTATTTTCAGATAAAGAAACTCAGAAGTTAAGCAATTTGACGTAAGTCATCCTGCTGTTTAGTGGCAAAGATATGTCTATCTTGGTATTTTAAGGAGTCAATATTACTACACTTCTCTTATCCACTCAAATTTAGAACCAAGTGAGAAAGAGATAGATTTAGAAGTCAGGAAGAAAAAGCATTAATTTTTTGAATGATGAGAATATTTGGGAGAAAAATATCTTGGGCATAAGACCAAACAGGCATGCTGATACTTCATTTCATTCAGGAATCTTACTCATCTACTAATTAGGTGGGAAACTTCAGGCCTCTATCTCTAGGTAAAGGCCTCTATTAGCTCACGGTGAAAGGTTGATCATAAAACATGCCCTCTGCCAGGAAGATGACTCCAAATAGAAAAAAGCGTTCAATTGGCTATGCCTGATTCTTTCTTCCAAATTTACAAAACAGATTACAACTTCATTGGCTAGGGTAGGAATCTCCTCTTCTTCACCCTTCTCGTTCACTGCCCTATACCCATCCCTTAACATAGTGCCTAGAACAGAACAGATTCTCAATAAATATAAATTGAATGAATGCATGGGTTGTAATCTCTTAAATAGTGATCTGTACACCAGATGGTGAATCAACATCTTAAGGTACCTTGCTTAGTCCACAATTTCTTTGATAAACGTCATGTAGCACATCATTTCTGGCTTAAAAATACTATGTTGAAAATAGATACTTCTAGGCTGTGCACCTGGTTTACGAATCCCGTGGTTCTAGCTTCTTTGCGAGCCGGCTGCTCGGTAGCCACCACCGCTCAGGTCTGCAGACTCGCGGCGCCCTAGGCTCCCGACATGTCGATGCTGGCTGAGCGGCAGTGGATGCAGAAGTGGACTGTGGATCCAAGAAACACTGCGTGGAGCAATGACGATTCCAAGTTTGGTCAGAGGATGCTAGAGAAGATGGGGTGGTCTAAAGGAAAGGGTTTAGGGGCTCAGGAGCAAGGAGCCACAGATCATATTAAAGTTCAAGTTAAAAATAACCACCTAGGACTTGGAGCTACGATCAATAATGAAGATAACTGGATTGCTCATCAGGATGATTTTAACCAGCTTCTGGCTGAGTTGAACACTTGCCATGGGCAGGAAACAACAGACTCCTCAGACAACAAAGAGAAGAAGACTTTCAGCCTTGAAGAAAAGTCTAAAATCTCCAAAAACTGTGTTCACTATATGAAATTCACAAAAGGGAAGGATCTATCATCTTGGAGCAAAAGAGATCTTGACTGCATTTTTGTGAAAAGACAGAGTAAGAAGACTCCTGAGGATGATGATTCCAGCCCTTCCACTCCAGATGGGAATGTATCCTCCACTACAATGACCAGCGCCTTCACCATTGAGGAGTACTTTGCCAAGTGGATGGTGGAGCTAAAGAATAAGCCACAGGTCATAGCAGCAGGGTCTGACCTTGAAGAGAACCGAATAGAAAGAAAAAGGAGAAAGAAGAGAAAGAAAAGGGCAAAAGATAAAAATGTGGAGACTTACACCGAACCCCAGGCCGAGAAGAATAGAGACCAAGTTGAACGGCAGCTCGGAGACCTTTGTTGGGATGGGAATTCTGGTGTTTCTGCTGAGGATGGAGAGGATTGTGTGTGGCCCCCTGATGACCAGGACATTACCCCAAAGCCCAAAAAAAGGAGAGAAAAGAAAAACTACAAAAGCAAGTTGAAGTAGCAGTGGACGCTATATTACATGACATACCAGTGAAGAAGACAAAGAAGAAGAAGAAAGCTTCGGAATAAATTCTCTCGAGCCAGGGCCTTCCAGACATTCAGCTGTCAGGGCCCTGCAAGCAAGCACCTTTGGCCTGAAGTCAGAGCAGAGTTCACCCAAGAGAGTTTGTGCACATCTTTTGACATGCCCATGGGTTGCTGAATCTCTCCCTCTCACCACATTTTTCCCAACACATCCCTGCAGAACTTTCTAATGTTCCAAATCATGGCTCTCATAAACAAATAAATTTCTTTTTAGACTGTGAAAAAAAATAGATACGTCTATCTATTTTATTTCCCATATAAATAAATGTGTTAGCAAAGACTGGTGTGTGACTGGTGTCCTAGGCACAATCACAAGGTGTCATTTGATTTCTACTTACATTTGCTCCCCCTGAGTCTGTGGTAATTTGCATGCCTCTCTCTTCCTCATAAGTAGAAAGAAAGAATTTGGCTCAAACTAAGTCACCATAATGTTAATTATTATGTATCCACCACTGTTCTATAGTAGTATGCTTTAGGTAAAAGTAAAGTTACATAGTTACATGTTAATATTCTTTTTTAAAACTAGAAAAAGTTATCAGAGCAGATAAAATCTATGCCAGTCTTAAAAGGAAAAGGCATAATCTTATTCATAGCTATCATACAGAAAAGCACATTAAATAAAACTATTTATTTGAAAATAAGGGTAGGATTCTGTATCTATCATCAAACACTCTATATTCTTTCTCTATAAAATATGCTGAAATTATCTGAGGTAATATCTCACACTTATTTTTTTTAAATCCAGAAGCTCCTCTTTAAAAAAAAAAAATTAACTCGGGGGGAGGAGCAAGATGACAGAGGAGTAGGAGACCTAAATTTCGTCTGGTCCCAGGAATTCAGCGAGATAGTTATCAAACCATTCAGAACACCTATGAACTCAACAAGAGATCGAAGAAAAGAATAGCAACAACTCTCTGAACAGAAAAGCGACCACTTTCTGGAAGGTAGAAAGTGCGGAGAAGTGAATCAGAGGCGATATTTGGGAAGATAGATGGTGGGGAAAGGGAGCCTCCGTGAGCTGCTACCGGCAAGTGATACAGCAGCAGAGCACAAGATCAGAACTTCTAGAAGTCCACTCTCCTGAGGGACGTCGCTCCAGTGGCTAAGCAGGGGGTGGAACTCACACTGGGACAATGTGGTCTCAGGACCCTCGGGGTCACAGAAAGACCAGGGGTGCCTGAGTGCAGCAGAGCTCCCAGGTATCAGAGCGGGGAAGCCAGCTGCAGAGACAGAGCCAAGGTGCGAGCTCTCAGCTCGGGGTTGCCATAGACCATGATTCGTGGCACAGTTGGGCCAAGCTCTTCCAATAGGGACCCAACAAACGGCAGATCCGGGGAGACTGCCCTTCCTCCCCTGGGAGGAGTGGCACGGGAGCACACCACAGGAATCTGCTGGGTTTGGAGACTCCACATGGGGTCGTGTGCCAGAGACAGAAATGCTCGGTCACAGGCCGGGTGAGCACAGAGTGCAGCCAGAGACCGGGGAGAGGGGAGTGATTGACTGCTTTTCTCTGGGGGTGCACTGAGGAGTGGGGCCATGAGTTCTCAGCTCCTCCAGGCCGGAGAGTGGGAGGCCACCATTTTCACTCTCATCCTCCAAAGCTGGACAGAAAGCTTGCAGGGAACAAAAGCTCCCAAGAGCAAACCCAAGCAGATTACTTAGCCTGGCCCTGGCAATGGCAAGGCAATGCCACCACCAGCAAAGACATTTGGGAACCACAGCAACAGGCCTCTCCCCCAGAAGATCAGCAAGAACAGTCAGTCAAGACCAAGTTTACCAATCAATGAGAATGGCGGAACTCCAGCACTAGGGGAATACAGCACACAGAATTCATGGCTTTTTTTTCCCATGATGCTTTAGTCTTTCAATTTTTTTAAATTTTCTTTATTTTTTCTTTTTCCATTCTTTTATTTTTCTTTTTCCCTTTTTCAACCAACATCTTCTTAATCCATTTTTAAAAAATCTTTTTTATTTTTCATTTTTAGAGTCATATTGTATCCCTCCATTGTAGTTAACCTTATTTTTTGTATATATATGTTATTTTCTCTTTAAAATTTTGGGATACAGGGGCGCCTGGGTGGCTCAGTCGGTTAAGCGGCTGCCTTCGGCTCAGGTCATGATCCTGCGGTCCTGGGATCGAGCCCCACGTCCGGCTCCCTGCTCGGCGGAGAGCCTGCTTCTCCCTCTCCCTCTGCCTGCCACTCTGCCTACTTGTGCTCTCTATCTCTCTGTCAGATAAATAAATAAAATCTTTAAAAAATAAAAATAAAAATAAAATAAAAAAAAATAAAATTTTGGGATACAGTTTCTTCTAACAGACCAAAATATACCCTAAATCTCTAGTGTATGGCTTTGTTCTAGTCTCCTGCCCGATCACATTCTCTCTCTCTTTTTTTTTTGTTTTTGTTTTTTTTTAATTTCTCTTCTTTCTTTTTTCAACCAACTTCTTATCTTATCAATTCCTTTTATAAAACCTTTATAATTTTCATCTTTACATTCATATTCCATCCCTTCATCTTATTTACCCTTATTTTTGTACATATACAGGTTTTTCTTTCTTTAAAATTTTGGGAGGCAGTTTCTTCTAACAAACCAAAATCGCCTAAAATCAAATGTGTGGCACTGATCTGTTCACCAACCTGATCATATTTGATCATATTCTTTTTTTTTCCCTTCTTTTTCTTTTTTCTTTCTTTCCCTTTCTTTTCCCCTGGTTTCAGATCTCTTCTGATTTGTTTAGTGTATATGTTTCTGGGGTACTTGTTACCCTGTTAGCATTTTGTTCTCTCATTCATCTATTCTCCTCTGGACAAAATGACAAGACAGAAAAACTCACCTCAAAAAAAAAAAAAGAACAAGAGACAATATAGACTGCCAGGGACCTAATCAATATGGACATTAGTAAGATGTCAGAACTAGAGTTCAGAATAATGATTATAAAGACACTAGCTAGCTTGAAAAAGGCATGGAAGATACCAGAGAAACCCTTTCTGGAGAAATAAAAGAGCTAAAATCTAACCAAGTTGAAATCAAAAAGGCTATTAATGAGGTTCAATCAAAACTGGAGGCCTTAACTGCTAGGATAAATGAGGCAGAAGAGAGAATTAGTGATATAGAAGACCAAATGATGGAGAATAAAGAAGTTGAGAAGAAGAGACATAAACTACTGGATCACGAGGGCAGAATTTGAGACATAAGTAATAACAGACAAAACAATAGTAGAATAACTGGGATCCCAGAAGTAGAAGAAAGAGAGAGAAGGGCAGAAGGTATATTGCAGCAAATTATGGTAGAGAACTTCCCTAATCTGGGGAAGGAAATAGGCATCAAAATCCAGGAGGCACAGAGAACCCCCCTCAAAATCAATAAAAATAGGGCAACACCCCAAAATCTAACAGTAAAACTCACAAGTCTTAGAGACAAAGAGAAAATCCTGAAAGCAGCTTGGGACAAGAGTCTGTAACCTACAATGGTAGAAACATTAGATGGGCAATAGACCTATCCACAGAGACCTGGCAGGCCAGAAAGGACTGGCATGATATATTCAGAGCACTAAACAAGAAAAATATGCAGCCAAGAATACTATATCCAGCTAGGGTATCACTGAAAATAGGAGAGATAAAAAGCTTTCAGGACAAACAAAAACGAAAAGAATTTGCAAACACGAAACCAGCCCTACAAGAAATATTGAAAGGGGTCTTCTAAACAAGGAGAGAGCCTAAAAGTAACATTGACCAGAAAGTAACAGAGGTAATATACAATAACAGTCACCTTGCAAGCAATACAATGGCACTAAATTCATATCTTTCCATAGTTACCTTGAATGTAAATGGGCTAAATGCCCCAATCAAAAGACACAAGGTATCAAATTGGATAAAAAAACAAGACCCATCAATATGCTGTCTGCAAGAGACTCATTTTAGACCTAAAGACACCTCCAGATTGAAAGTGAGGGGCTGGAAAACCATTTACCATGCTAATGGACATAAAAAAAAAAAGCTGGGGTGGCAATCCTTATATCAGACAAATTAGATTTTAAACCGAAGACTATAATAAGAGATGAATAAAGGCACTATATCATACTTAAAGGGTCTATCCAACAAGAAGATCTAACAATTGTAAATATCTATGTCCCTAACATGGGAGCAGCCAATTATATAAGCCCTTTAATAACAAAAGCAAAGAAACACATTGACAACAATACAATAATAGTAGAGGACTTTAACACCCCCCTCAATGAAATGGACAGATCATCTAAGCAAAAGATCAACAAGGAAATAAAGACTTTAAATGACACACTGGACCAAATGGACTTCACAGATATATTCAGAACATTCCATCCCAAAGCAACAGAACACACATTCTTCTCTAGTGCCCATGGAACATTCTCCAGAATAGATCACATCCTAGGTCACAAATCAGGTCTCAACTGGTACCAAAAGACTGTGATCATTCCCTGCATATTTTCGGACCACAATGCTTTGAAACTAGAACTCAATCACAAGAGGAAAGTTGGAAAGAACTCAAATACATGGAGGCTAAAGAGCATCCTACTAAAGAATGAATGGGTCAACCAGGAAATTAAAGAAGAATTTTAAAAATTCATGGAAATGAATGAAAATGAAAACACAACTGTTCAAAATCTTTGGGATACAGCAAAGGCAGTCCTGAGAGGAAAGTATGTAGCAATACAAGCCTTTCTCAAGAAACAAGAAAGGTCTCAAGTACACAGCCTAACCCTACACCTAAAGGAGCTGGAGAAAGAACAGCAACTAAAGCCTAAACCCAGCAGGAGAAGAGAAATAATAAAGATCAGAGCAGAAACCAATGAAATAGAAACCAAAAGAACAGTAGAACAGATCAACAAAACTAGGAGATGGTTCTTTGAAAGAATTAGTAAGATTGATAAACCCCTGG